TATTCTTTTCTCTCTTTCACCTGTCTAGATTAAGCAAGCTAAATGGTGTGCCTGCTTTAATGACTGTTTATATAGGACCAGTTTGTATGTGGTTCTCCAAAGTCCAGCTCTGTCTGCTTTCAATATCCAAGCAATTGTACTTCCATTCTTTAGTAAGAGAGAACAGAGTGGGAAAATGGTTTGCCAGCACAACTATATGGAGTAGCAGCATGGCTCTTGACGGTGTCCGTCTCGCTGTAGCTTCACCCTCCAGTCTTGTCTCTGTCCTGGACACTTTTATACATGGCTACTGTGTGTTCTTCTCTACTGTGCATCCTCCTCTTTCTTCTAAAGTAGAGCAGTGAGTCAGGCCAAGCGCAGCAATCTCTGTATGTGTGTGTGTGATAAACAGATCACGTTGCAGAATACTTGTACAAGATAAGTCTTTGCTTTTGGCAATCCCTTTTATTGTGATAAAAGCTGTTTAATAAACTATGGACTGCCAAGAGAAATGTTTCTGACAAGTTTTTAAAAACCCAAATAAATAGATATTCTAGTTCATGAGGACAACATGAGTTTTTATTGTCATTTGCCATGTTAAGAGCTTACTGACAGAAATATAAGCCCCGAATGAATTTTTAAGCCCCAAATGTGTGTAAATCCCTGAAAAGAAAAGGCTTACTTGTGGGACTGTTGATACAATCAGAACAAAAGTATTGTGAATATGGTAGTGTAAAATAATTCTTAGCATTTATACAGAGATTTTTACCTTCACATCCTTTATATACATTGATCAATTTATCCTTACAAAAGATTAAGAAGCTGGTAGCTAGATTAATTTGTCTATTATTTTGTGGATGAGGAAATTAAGGCAGAAAATTTAAAGAAATTGCTTATGAAAGCTATAAATTTCATAGCCCTGATTTAATAACGTTTCAGTTGCCCTTTGAATGAAGACCCTTGTATGCAGGCGTCAGAAGCACTTGGCCTCCAATGATGTTTCAAATTCTAGCAATATACTAGGAAAGAGCTGAAAAACAGACTTAGTCTTAGGATCATAACTACTACCATACGTCTTGATGGAACAGCATGAGTAGCAAAATTATTTGAGATTGAATAATTTTTTAGGATGTTATTGCTTCTACTCCTGGATGTTCAACTGCTTCATTCGGTGACAGCTGCATGGACTGTGTTTCAAGCATTAGCACACTCCAGTCGTTGAATATTTACTCATAAATGTTTTAGACTTTATGATTGAATCATTGATTTAACTCTTAAAACAAGATACAATTTATAGTAGCACGCTCACTTTCTGACTATGTTCTAAGAGTGATAATGGGGGGGAAATTAAGAGTGTGTTTCTGAGTTTTAGGATAGGAAACTTTTCCTGTATCTGAGACAGTGGCTTTGGGATACTTATGTGGATGATTTTGGGATAACTGAATTTCTGTCCTGGTTTGGGATATAGATACTGCTGCGTCTTTTTTAGATACACATGAACGACTGTGATGAGAGAGTTTAGGCAGTGATAGGAGAGAGCACTAGGTAAAGGGATGATCAATGCTAGGGGCAAACTGTTCTTCCTAAGATGGCCATGGTGGCAGCAGATAGGCTTCTGTGGCTGGATACTAGTATGTGTTCAAGAGAGCAGACTGAGTTAAATAGGCTGTATCCACTGCTGTTTCAGACAATATAAGCTGTATTTGTACTCAGTTGTTCAAACCAGATCATCAGGCAGGTTACTTTTGCTTAATTCTTTGATAAACAAAAAAGTTGAGATAGGTGTTCCAAAAGTAGGTGAGATAGTTACAGAAATACTGCTCATATTGGGGAATTAACTGGGAGAACATGGTAACTGGAAGAAAAGGATGAGTTAAGTTAAACTTACATCAGGCTTTCTGCAGGTATCTTTTTGTCCGTATAGAGCCCTGTAAGTCCTTGTAAAACTGCAGGGGCATGTTTTCCGCTAGACTTCAACATCTGTCCCATAAAACCCAGTTACATAAAACCCAGTTACCCAGTTACTGCAAAAACCCAGTTACATAAAACTCTCCTGGAAGTTGGTGAGCTTCTGGTAAAGACATTGGGTGTGCCAGTTGCAATTAGGACTAGACTTATTAAGATGAAAAAATTCTGCCAAGCAGTTTAAATTATAAATGAATGTTGCTGAGCTTGATGCTTTCTACAACACAGTTAGTGGGACTGGCAGGAGAAGGCTCAGGCAGTTTTAAAAATGCTTGCTTCACATCTTTTTGCTAGATGCAAAATGGAAATGAAGCATCTTGCTGTTTTACATGCAAGGCTTGATTCCTTGAAATACATGTTTAAAACAATAAATAGAAAACATTTTGGTTTGAAGTGATCTGGCGGTGACGTGTATTTCTCAGAGGCAGCACTGCTACATATAATGAACTACAATCTGTTTACCCAAGAGGTTGGTTGTGACAATGACACAAACGGCAAATACAGTGGTAGAGTTTCTGGACATTCAGCTCATGTTTGAACATCTTTACAAATTTCATGGGAAACACTGAAGAAAGAATGGATCAGTGGCAGTATGCTAGGGTATTTTTCAAGTAAAGTACTTTGTCTTGTAGAATTTTACTTGAGAGCAGTGCTTTACAACCATTATTTTAGCAGTTTTACAAATTACTGAGAATTGTTAATTTCTTTGAAAATGAAAAGACAAAGCAATGCAGATCTTAAGTTAATTATCTTTCTGTCTCCTTTGGAAAAGGTTTTAAATCAGCTTTGCAGAATTTGACCGGAATATTTGCCTTAGGTAAAGCCTTAGGCAAATAAAATACAATTAGTGGTTTTCTGGTTTGCTTTTCTATTAGCATAAACACTAACTGGGGTAAAAAGCAGACAAGTGAGTTTTATGCTATGGCTGTGTAAATTTTCATGAGGAATATACAAGACTGCTTTACATTGCTTCCCACTTGCAAGCAGATTTGCTCAGTATCATTTGGGCAGGGGGAAGCAAGGGAGAGGAGGAGGTGAGAGAACAGGAAGGGGGAAGGTCAGCTGGTAAATAGTTGCAGATATGAGGCTATTCTTTGCTAAACGTTTAATGTGTTTGGTTGTGTTGCGGAGAACGAGAGTCAGTGTCCTTAATTATAGATTATATTCTTCACTGGAAAAGATGTGAGGTGCAGATTGCTGTGTTTGTTCTTGGTCGGTCTGAAAAGGCTAAGCAGTGTTGCCCATAGCTTAAGCCTTTAGATAAGTCATCTTGGGTGTAGTGAATGAGAAAACAGGACTGCTGAAAGCACACTGATAAAGCTTACCTCACATCAGCGGCAATCTTTGGACTATCTATCTGTGCTAAATATTCTTTATGAGAATGTATTTGGATTGCTCACAGAACTATGTAGCTCATAGCACTTGAACTCCCTTCATTTCCTGGTAGCACGCTATTTCGCTCTAGAGGCTGTCATGGCATTGCTATGGAAACAACATCATCGTTTCCAGCATGCACTCATCTTGAGACTCATCTTGACTAAAATACTCATTTCTCAGTCAGATCAATATAGTTCAGGGTTATCCTGTTTTAATAAAAAATTCCTTCTTCTGTGTCCCAAAAGGGTTAAGCTAATTAGCAAATCACCATAGGGTTTTCTTATAATCTAATGTATTCCAGTATTTGAAGTATATCATGGATAGTCAGATCGTTAGGCACTGTATCTTGGGGAAATTAATTTACTTAAGAACTAAACAACAACAAAAAAGAAAAGAAATAGAAAACCGAAAACAACATGGTACATTGATGGAGACCAAGTCTGTGGCAGCCCATGTTGCACCTGAATATAGTGCGTATATAGGGCATATATAGTGCTCTGGGAGCAGCCTCCAGGCTGGGGAAGATAGCTAGCCTTACCAAATTCCGGTTACCTGCCTCAGTGCTAAGCATTTGAATGCTAGACTGAAAGCAAATCCGCAGTATTCTTTTGGCATTTGTGGAGGTGTAAGCTGGCAAGTTTGTGCCCTTGAGTGAGATAAGGTTGTTTCTATAAAAATTCCTCAGCCAGGATGACTGTGCACAAGCTGTG